CTTGGCAAGCACTGAGCTGGCTGAGCCATCTTCCTAGCCTCAGATTCTATGCTTTAACTTTCAAACCTCAGAACATCTTAGCAAATGGTTAGTATGTGTTTATATTAGGAGGTGTGGCCTTTTTAGAGTAAGTGTGTCACTAGGGGTGGACTTTGGGGTTTCAGATGCTCAAGCCAGGCACAGTGTCTTTCTCTTCCTGCTGCTTGCTGATCTGGATGCAGAACTCTCAGCTCCATCTCCAACACCATGTCTGCCTGTGTGCCTCCCTCCTTCCCACCATGATGATAATGGACTAAACTTATGAACCCGTGAGCAAGCCTCAATTAAATGCTTTCCTTTATAAGAGTTTTGTGGTCATGGTGTCCCTTCACAGAAAAAGAACACCGACCAAGACACTGACATATCAGAAAATGCTGTCCTCTAACAATCCTAGACTTGCCACCAACTGTAGGTCTTCCTCCTCTCTTTCTCAGTTCCATTCCAGACAATGTGACAAGCCAATCATCAATCTCTCAGAGTGCATCAATTTCAAGTTGCCAGTCTGATTGGTGTTATTCTGAAGGGTCAGGTCACACAGAAGCTGTGCTCTGGTGACCTCAACCATAGTGTATACCTCATTCTGCAGGGAGCTCTGCCAGCAGCCTGTGCACACACGTCAGTCTGAAATGGTGTTGAGTAGAAACTTCTTGACTTGGAGCATTCCATCCTGGAGGGGAAGCTCCTTGAGACTAGAGAAGTTCTGAAAGGAAGCTTACAGAATGCAGGAAACCTGGAAGGAAGCTTCTTAAGACCCCAGAAATAAGCAACTCATAAGTCTCAGGAAGTCCCTCAAATTGAGCAGATGCACAAAGCCTCTCTTTCCCAAGCTTATAGAAGTAGAGAGGATGGCTGGGAAGACTCAGCTCGACCCAGGTCATGGAAAAGACTCTCTGACTTGTTGACCAGCCTGCAAATCCTACAGAGAGCTCTGGAGATGCAGCTTCCACAGGTCATCAGCACACTAGAGCAGCTTTCAGTGATGTATGTAGCTGCCTTTGAGTTACCTCTGTTCCAGGAAGTATCATCTCGCCACACACCTTTGAGAACTATCAATAAAGCCACTGGTTTGCTGAGCTGGACTTCAGTAGTATGACTACTTTAGCCTGTCATTGGCTCCATATCTGGGGTGAATAAACATTTATGTCTTTCCAGGAATAAAGTAACAGCAACCAAGACAGTCTTCCCATATGCCCTCTACTCATATACAAAGCCACCACAATGCTTGAGCAGAGAATCCAGGGACAGCAGTGTTCTTTTGATCAGATGCCCTTCTGTACCCTACATATCATAAGGTTCAAACAGAAAATCTCCACCCTCATCCCCTGCATGCTCCTGGTCTACGTTCACACTGCTCATGACTGGTGGGAGGGAACTAGAAGACGGGTAGCCTCTGGAGACTAGCTTGCCTTCCACCCTGCGAATGACTCAAAACTAAACCCATCAGCATATTCTAAAATTAAATCATTTTTATCTCAACATGCAAGCGCTGTGCAGTATTAATGAATATATACAAAAAGTGAGATCAACCCTCTTTGGAGCATTTCAGAGCAGGCACTTTGTGAGGAGACCCAGAAGAGACTTCTGCACAGTGAAGCATGAGCTCATTCTCCACACAGCTATTCCTAAAAAGTGTTTCTATTAGGAAAGCGTTTGAGAGTGCACCATTCAGAAGCCATTAGGGGAACCCGTGACAAAGTAGAATGTCCCTGCTCGATGTAAACAGTAGCTCTTAGCTCCTCCTGCACTGGCCTGACTGTAGCTGTTGGTTTAAGGCAGGTCATGCTGTTGTTGCTTCTGGATGAAGGGGCACCCATGCTGGAGCTCCGTCTTCCATTGCCTGGCTCTGTGTCCTGTCATGGGATGAGTCTCCCCAAAGTGCCCCATTAAGTGAAGAAGCACCAGGAGGGATCTCAAGATGTGCTACTTCCCTGGGCAGACAGGCCACCAGTACACAACCATGTTGTGATGCAAGCTGTCTGTCTACATACACACGGGGACTTCCAACTGTGAGTCCCTTCTTCCCATCCTCTAACCTCTCTCCCGATCCACATCTACCTCAGGGAAGGAAGCAAAGTGAAATAGGTGAAGGCATGCCAGTTTCTCATCTCCCCCAGTTCTGGCTTGAGGGAAGGAGGCAAGGATGTTGTTAAGAGATGTTGAAGTACTCACTACAAACTATTGTCAACTTAGGGCAAGTAGATGAATCATAGATGCAGCAGAAGAAACTGACTCCATGAAGTCTTTAGAAGGCTGTTTATTATGGTTTGACCCAACACAAAATCCCAAGGAATGGTCCGAGAGGACAGGGGGAGGGGAAGGGGGGGAGAAGGGAACTCAGAAAGCATAGCTGCTCTTTGACCATGGCTTGCTTGGTGTGCAAACATTAGGGCATGAGTAACCAAGTAGTTCTGAACCAAAGGCTCACCCTGCAAAGGACATCTGGCAGTGCCTACAAATGTTCTGGTTGCCAGCTAGGGGAGGAATGGCAATCTTCTGCCATCCAATGAACAGAGGCCAGGGATACTACTCAACACTATGCAGCCCCCACATGACAAAGAATGATCTAGAAAACATCAACAGTGGGCAAGGCCCATAAGCTCAGGGCTAAAAGAAAGCTTGGCAGCAAGAGTTATGTTTTAGAGGCTCGGCTGGTAAAGTGTTTCTCTTGGAAGCACTGGAACCTGAGTTCAATCCCCAGAACCCACATAAAAAGGCAGGGTGTGCTGTCACCTGTCTGAAATCCCGGCACTGGAGAGGTGGAAACAGGGACTTTGCTGGGACTTGCTGGCTATTCAGCCTAGCCTACTCAGCAAATTTCAGGTTTGTGTGATTTGAAGAATGACATCCAAGGTTGTCCTCTGGCCTGTGCACACAGGCACATACACACACACACACCACATACATACACACACACACATACAAGTGTACACACACGCACATATACACACGCGCACTTTACCTTGCAATCATCGTCTCTTCTAGTTGGTTGAGTTCATATGTTAGGCAACAAACTAAGCAATGACCTGACGACCCAGACGGATATACCTCTGTTATTATTTTTGGAGCTGGGTAGAAATGGCAAATTTCAGAGCTCTGGCCTAACCCCTCTTCAGCTGCATGAATAAAACATCAGAGCCTCTAAATTTAAACTTAAAGCCAATTAATTCATCAAAATGTCACTTGTCACCTAAAGCATTTTAGTGGTGAGAAAATACCTTGGAAGAAGAAAGAATCCTCACAAGGACAGGATAAATGGAGTGGGGATTTTGTTCTCGGGGCAAGAACCATTGTAGCCTTGGCTTCTCCTAGTTATTCCTTCAGAGAAGCCTTGGGAAGATGGTGTTTAATAGTATTGTTGGTGTCACAAGTGACTTGTGTTACATGTGGCCCTTCCTAGGTCTTGTTATAAAGTATGTCGGAGTCTTTACAATAGAGTCATCTTGCCCAAAAAGTGTTCACCAGCTCCCCCAAATCACAAACCTCAGCACAAGAGCATAGAGTCGGACACAAAGGGAATCATAAAAATAAACCGTATCATGTCTTCGGGAGCTGAGAGATGACTTCCCAAAGCCTGTAATTTATAGCATTGTCTTAGTTATAAATGCAGAGAACTGAGACACGAATCACAGAATATCTGTTTTCTAAGTGAAACTCGCAAAGCAGGAAAACTGGGGATTCCCCCTCCACACCCTCAGGAAAGCTGGGTTTTGAAAGCTCCCGATGCTTGCTACCCTAAGCGTAGTGGCTCTCAGTGACAGACAACTTCCTTTTGCAATGAAAAGACAAACCATGTGGCAGAATCAAAGGGGTTGGGGGAGAGGGGAGGGTTGAGGGAGGATATAGGTGTATCAGAAAGCTTTGTACTGAGTTACATACAATCGCCACAGACCTTTAATCTCAAATCAGGCCATTGAAATCAAGCACCCAAATGCCATGCCCTTTATTGCAAACAGCAGACCAAACAAGACTCAAAGCCAAATGCTTAGACTTGAAGGTGTTAAGAATAATTTGTGTAAAGACAGAGTCTTACTGGTGAATATTATTAAGTTATAAAACAAACGTCTAGTGTTTTTCCCTTAGGGGAAAACCAATACATTATGTTGTAATTCCAAGCAACAAAAGGTTAAAAAAATCTTTGAGAATTATCAAGCTGTTGGTCTAGACTTTCTTACAAATGAATGAGTCATGCTTCCTTCTCAGACCCACCGAGGGAGTGAGCCGCGATCTTTTCCCAGTGTCTAACTACAGAGGCATAACATGGGACCCTGGTAATATCTCAAAGAATATCTTGAGTTTGTATTGGCGAATCTCTACCTTCCAAAGAAAACAGAATAGATGTCACCAAATCAGTCCTGCCTGCAAAGGTAGTGTCTTCATCCCTCACCATTGCAGCCAAGGTCATCAGCTGAGGCTCAGGGTAAAGTCTGAGGTACCCCCACCTGGCCCCAAGCATACATCTTCCAGAAACTCAAATATCTAGAAATATCTGAACAAAATCCTTTCACTTAGGACCCATATAATCCTAAAGCAAAGAGACAGAGCTAGATCCAATGAATTTTCATTACTTCTCCTGAGAGACACAATTAAAGTCCAGGCCCAAGGGCTGAGTTCTCCTGAGCTAACTGCACTAGGATCCACTCAGAAACCCACACAGACCAGTTCTTTGAAGCAGTTCTCACTGATAGCCACAACAGGCGTGCCCTCAGAATCACTCAAAAGTGGACCTGGGTCAGGGAGGTGTAAGAGAGAATGTAACAGAAATCCTCCCCTTCACCCTCCCACCCCCACCCTCGCAGAAAGTGCCTTCAGGACTTGAGAAACGCCCCGGGGCCTCTTCATAAAAGTTGCCTATCTGCTCATAGCAGAGAGGGTTCAGTAGACCATCCCTGTTCGCTTCCTTGGCAGCTGTGTCTCTGGCAGGGAGACCACCAGTGAACAAGGGAATAACGTGGGGGTCTTACTTTTGTAGCTGGTCGCCCAGGGCTGGTAGCCATAGTAGCCTGTGATGCGCAGGATCCGCTCCTCGATGGATGTGAGTCCCACCGGTCCGCTGGTGAGGTCCTCCACAGAGCGCGACCATTTCAGATCCTCCTTGATCGCCTCATCCACCACCAAGTACTTGAGCTGCCGGAGCTGAGGGCTGATGTCCGACAGTCTCCGCGGGCTGACGTCCGGTGACCTCCTCATGCCACTGAGGCCGCGGGAAGGCGGGATGAGTCAAGGGCAGAGAGGAGATGTCAGTGAGGACCTGTGAGGACCCACGGCTACTCCCCTCGCGTTGCTTGCCATGTGCCCTGCTCCCGGGAACCTCGGCGTCGGGTCCCTCGCCCTGCCCTGGGCGCCTCAGGCAACGTGAGCTATGGCGAGTAGCCCGGAGATACTGCTGAAACTTCCCCAGCTCCGCCGCACATGACAGTCCCTCTGTCCCTCCCTCCCACCAGGAGCGCAGCAGTGCGGGCTATGCAGGGTCGCGGATGCCCGGGGGGCCACCTGCCCGCTGCCCTCCCGCGCCTGCAGCCCTACTCACACAGCAATGCTCTTGGCCCTGGGAGCGCCGCCGGGAAACTCTCGGATCCCCATGGGCGGCGGCAGCGAGTGGCCCGGGACGCCCAGGCTGGAGCTGGGGGAGCCGCGGCCCGAGCTCCCCGCAGCCGCTGCGAAGGTCCGGACGCCCGTAGGTCGCCCGCTGCTGGGAGCCGGTGGCAGAGCAGCGCCGCACCCCTTGCCTGCCACCGCCGGGCGCCCTAGGACTAGCGGTCGCGGACACCCAAGCTCCGGAGAGCACTCCTGGTAGTGCGCTCCGGAGCCACCGGGACGCGAGTCTGTGGCTGCCTCGGCGCGCGTGGACCAGGCGGGGACGCGCGTTCAGATCCTCGCCGCCCCGAGTGTGCCAGGCTCCCTGAGCTCTGTAACCTTAGGGCGCGGGACCTGTCACGGTCCTGGCGTTCTGGTTTGGACACGTGAGTCTCTAGGTCTCTCCCCCAACACCCACCCCAAACACAAACGCTTGCGTGCCACCCCAAAGAGCGGTGCTACTACGAAAGCAAAAAGCAAACTAACCTGGCATTTCACAGCGCACACTAAGTGGCTTGTTTAGAAAAGGTGGCGATTGCTGGATCAAGTCCAGTCCCCAGCTCACAAGCCCAAGGAAAAGGGCACTAACTGCTTCAGTGCCTTCTGCAGAGGCTGTTGTCCTACCTAGCTCCCAATCAGTTTTTGTGCCTTCTTCCTAAGCCATTCTTGACCACCAAACCACCCTCCATTCCGCTCTTCTTTACTGAGCGCAAATTCAGAAAATACACAGATATATAGAGAAGAAAACAGCCTTATCAAGTCCCGAAAGGCTACTATGAATTATAGCTAGATTCCAACATTTTTTTGAGTGTGAGATACATTTCCCCCAAGAGATCAAACTGCAAGCACTGCTTTATGTATTGCTTTAGGGAAAGATATATTACTCCTCAGTGAACTAGAAATAGACTGGAACTCACCTCCTCAACTTGCTATAAAGAATTTACTAAACCTTGCTGCAAACCGGTAAGAAACTCCAGTTTTCCTGCTGGGAGACAACCTGGGGCTACCTACCCTTGCTGTGCCTCTACAACATCTTACTGGGAGTCCCAGACAATTAAATTACACAAGAAAGGGAAGACAGTGGCTGCAATTTCGGAAGAAGTAAAAGAAAAATGAAATTGTATTTGGATAGCCATGCTGATGTAGAAAGTCTCAGAGATGACCACAAAAAAAAAAAAAAAAAACCTTCGGAATTTTCGGAATTAATAACCGTGATGTCAATCTTGATTGTTGATTTGATGTTAGAATTACCATGGAAACAAACCTTTGGGCATGTGTACGAAGGAGTTTCCAGATATGGGCAGCATTACTCCATGGGCTGGGTCCTGCACTGAATGAAAAGGAGAAAATGGGATGAACATCTCTGTTCATCTTTCTCTGCTTCCTGCCTGTGGATGTCATGTGACCAGTTGCTTCCTGTCTGTAGATGTCATGTAACCAGATGCTTCTGTCTGGATGCCATATGACCAGATGCTTCCTGACCATGGATACTGAGTGACCAGATGCTTCCTGTCTATGAATGCCACAGGACCAGTTACTTCCTGTCTGTAGATACCATGTGACCAGATGCTTTCTGTCTATGGATGCCATGTGACCAGATGCTTCCTGACTGTGGATACTGCGCGACCAGCTGCCTCAGGCTCCCCCCACCAGGACTTTTTCACCACGATGGACTGAGTGCATTTTTAAACCTGTGATCCAAAATAAACCCTTCTTCCTTGCGTTGTTTTTGTCTAGTATTTTGCCATAGTTACATGAAGTAACACAATAACTGGGTTTTTTAAAAGGCTGAAAGATTCAAGGTTAATGTACAAAATTTAACCACTTTCCTATATGCCTACAATGGACAATTGAAATTTGAAACAAAAATACGGTACTGTTTACAAGGCTTCTAAAGACAAAATCAAATGAAAGAAACAAAATTTAAATTGAATGCACTGTGAACAACCAAAGTGTCTTTGAACCTCAATGCATGCGTATTCTTGTCTCAAGACACTGCTTTCCCTTTGGTTTCTGGGTCAGTGATAGAAAGGGCCAGGTGGCAGCCCCATCTGGGTTCGTTGGCACTTCGTTCTTCTTTTAGTGACCGGTGTTGGGAACCAAGACAGTGACAGCCAGACATTCCAAGAGCACTCCGTACCAGAAACAATTATAGTCATTACCTGAAGGAGGTCAGGAGCTTAACATTTTCTATTCATAATAAACCTCAATGATTACACTCATTTGAATACAGTTTTGTGAGTCAGGCTAATCAATGCCATTGCCTAACAGGGAAGATAATCTGCATATATTATAGATTTCTACAGCCTTTTAAAAACAAGGCTTATTTATTGTAATTTTATATGTGTGTTTGCCTACATGCTTGTAAATGCACAGCATGCATGCAGTGCCCATGAAAGCCAGAAGAAGGCCTCAGATCCTTTGTGGCTGGAGTTACAGACACTTGTCAGTTACCATGTGAGCCCTGGGTACATAACCTAGGCTCTCTACAAGAGCAGCAAGTACCATTGGCTATTGGAGTCATCATTTCAATACTCTGTAGCTATTCTTCATACCAGTAAATAAAACCTTAACTCATAAGTTTTACAACATTACTTCATTGGGATATGATTTTTTCAGCCATGAGTATGACTTGTTTTTTCTGAAAATATCCAGGTGCCCATGAAATATTCAGAATACTTAGATCCATGTCCATCTTAAAATCGAACTAAGTAAACATTTACTGAGGATAGGGCATGGGATGGGACATTTACTGTGGTCTGGGAAGGAGACTAGAAACACCAACGAGGCAAATGTTTTCTTCCCTCATTGAGCCTGCAGAACAATGAACACATAAGGGAAGAGTTGTCACTGGCCCACATGGGTTTTGATCCTCACATAGAGTCTCTAGAAGCCAAGGAGTATATTTCCAAGTCATCACCTGCTGCAGTAAATACTATTTGGTGGGTTCTACCACACCTTAGATACTTTGGTTTCCAAATAAAAGACACAAAACCTTTAGGTTTATAATAAGCCTTAAAGCACTAGAGCTGGGTAGATATCAACCCTCTGTGCTATTTTGTCTACTTCTCCGCCAATAATCCCAAGATATCACTTGCCATGTTCTACCTGGGCTGCTCCTATTCCAGCAGGCTGACCCTCACGGCCATGTACTCATGATCCACCTACCCCATGGTGACTTCTTCCTTCTTCCTCTTTCTCTCCCGTTGTCTCTCCTCGGACCCCATGCCTGGGAAACAAAGCCTCACCTACCTCTCTTCTGCCCAGTTATGGGCTGTGCGCATCTTTACTCAACTGATAGTTCTAAATTAAGGAGCAAGGTTTACACAATAAAAGCTGGCATACGTGAGAATGCGTTCTTCTTGAGGCAACTAGACCTTGGGATACAGAATTTAGCATTACAACATACAGCAACAGACCACACCTCAACAATCACCCTTAACTGGGAGGCAAGGAGTCCAGCATCAGAGGGCATTAGAGATGCTTTCTTAGGTTAGGAACCAAACTAATGCTGAAAACTAGGGATTTGCCTGTAGCTGCAGAAGGAAGAAGAAAGGGTCTACAGAGAGAATGCAGAAGGTAGGGGAAGCTGTGGAGGAAGAAGAGGGGGCAGTGTGGAAGTCCTTAGAGAAGAAAGATGCAGTGGTTGGAAAGCATGACCAGGAATGTGTTTTGGAGAGTTCCTTGTCAACTTCTCAAAATCTAATCACCTGGAGGGACCCCAGACATGCCTGTGGGGGACTGTCTAGATTAGAAAGTCACCTGGAGGGACCCCAGACATGCCTGTGGGGGACTGTCTGGATTAGACCTGCCCACTGAGAGTGATGATATTCCCTAGCTGGGACCCTGAGCTGCAGAGATGGAGATAGGGAGCTAAGCACGTGAGAATTCATTGCTCTATGCTTCCTGATTATAGATGTCACATGACCAGATGCTTCACAACCCTGCCTCCTCCACCTCTCTTCCACCATGGGCTTACACACATGAACATGAGCCAGTTCCTCTTAAGTGTGCGTTGTCAGAGTACTTTCTCACAACAATTGGAAAGTGAACAAAGAATGAAGATAGGGGTTACGGTGGAAAGTGGCAGAGGCAGGGGGATTCAGCCAACATCCTCACTTCCAAGAGTCCTTGAAGGTCTCTTCTTACCAATTCTTCTTGCCCCGCCCACCTGCCTCCCCCCACCCCCCGATTTTCATGCAGTAGTTGTCTCCCTCCCTCCATTCCCCTGCCTTTCAGAGTCCACGGACTGCAGCCTCCAGAACAGAATGGAGGATACCCTGCCATCTTTGCCTGGAAAGTCCGTGCACAGCTGACCTCTATGACCTGGGTTACCCTCACCCACCTCACACCTACTCTAATTCTCTCTCTCTCTCTCTCTCTCTCTCTCTCTCTCTCCCTCCCTCCCCCCCACTTTCCAGGAAGTTTTTTCTGACCCTGATGGAGTGGACTAGTTCCTTCCAACACAATGCTTTAATACTTTACAGTGGCCTTTACAACCCTTGTTGGGATTTTATGACATGTTAATTTACAGGCTTATTTGATTAATGTCCGTCTCCTCCGCTCAGCTAAAAATTCTATGAGGCCAAGATCGCTTTGCCTTCTCCATGACCCTCATATCTATCATAATGCCTGTGTAGGCACTGCTCAGAAAAACATTTCTTCAGTAAATGAGCAAGGGGAAAAACAAAGAGAATGAACCTATTTGAACAATGAGCTGTGGGAGGTAGAAGGGATGTGTCATACCGAATCCCACTTCTAGGCTCACACTGGATTCACCTTTAAAAGTTGGAAGGGACAAACTTCTAACTTCCTGGCAGCTTATCTCTTTGGGGACTCTCAATTCAGCCTTCCTGCGATTATGCAGAGCAACAAAATGCCCTATGTTCCTAGGTCAGTCATGACTTCAAATGTTGTTTTCTATTGTTCCCAAAAAAGATGCCCTCAATGTTAGATACTGTGTTTCAATTCTGAAGCAAAAGCATTGCTGTAGTGATGTGTGTCTC